GATATTTTTTTTTTGAGTTGGAGTCTCACTCTGTCGCCCAGACTGGAGTGCAGTGGCTGCTCCCAGCCACCACAGCCTCAACCTGCTGGACTCCATCAATCCTTCCACCTCAGCCTTCCGAGTAGCCAGAATTACAGGCATGCTCTACCACGCCCGGCTGATTTTTTTGATTTATTGTAGAGATGAGGTCTCGCCGCCGAGGTGGCTCTCGAACCCACGGGCTCAGGCAATCCACTCACCTCAGCCTCCCAAAGGCACGGGATTACAGGCTGAGCCACCAGGGCCAGCACATCTCATGATATTTATTTGCATTTCCTTGATGCATAATGATACTGATCATCTTTTCATGTGTTTGTTGCTCATTTGTATATATTCTTCAGAAAAATATCTATTCAAGTTCTTTGACTATTTTTTGCATTGTTTTGTTGTTATATATGTGTATATACATGTATATACACACATGCGTATCTTATAGCTCAAAAACAAAACATATATATATATATTCTGAATACTAGATATTAGAATATTATCAGATGTATTATTTACAAATATTTTCTCCTATTTGTGACTGTATTAACACTCTTTTTGTTTTCTTTTTTTCTTTTTTTGAGTTGGAGTCTTACTCTTTTGCCCAGACTGGAGTGCAGTGGCTGCTCCCGGCCACCACAGTCTCGACCTACTGGGCTCTGGAGATCCTTCCGCCTCAGCCTTCCAAGTAGCTGGAACCACAGGTATGCACTACCATGCCCAGCTAATTTTTTGATTTATTGTAGAGATGAGGTCTCACCAAGGTGCCCAGGCAGGTCTCGAACCCGTGGGCTCAGGCAATGCACTTACCTCAGCCTGCCAAGCACAGGATTACAGGCTGAGTCACCGAACCTGGCAACACTCTTTTTATAGTATCCTTAGTATACATGTGTGCTTAATTTTGGGTTTAACCTGTGTTATTGTTTGTGCTCATTGTTTTGGTGTCATACATAAGAGACCATTGTCAAATCCAAGGTAAATATAGACATTCTGTATGCTTTCATCTAAGTGTCTTATATTCTTAGCTCTTATATTTAGGTATTTGATTCCTTTTAAATTAATTTTTGTATTTGAGTTGGAGTATCACTCTGTCACCCAGACTGGAGTGCAGTGGCCTCTCCTGGCCACTGCAGCCTTAACCTGCTGGGAATCTGGCGATCCTTTTGCCTCAGCCTTCCAAGTAGCTGGAATTACAGACATGCACTACCACGCCGGCTGATTTTTTTTTTTTTTGATTTATTGTAGAGATGAGGTCTCGTCAAGTTGCCCAGGCGGGTCTCAAACCCGCGGGCTCAGGCAATCCACTCACCTCAGCTTCCCAAAGGCACGAGATTTACAGGCTGAGCCACGGAGCTTGGCTTAAATTAATTTTTATTTATAGTGTGAGGTAAGTGTCCACTGTCATATTTTTACATATGGACATCTGATTTTCTCAGTACCATTTGTTGAAGAGTTCATTTTTTACTCATTAAATAGTCCTGGCGACCTTGTGGAAAATCAGTTAATGATGTATAGGCTTATTTCTGGACTCTCAATGTTATTGCATTTATCTATATGTTTATCCTTATGACAGTGATGCATTATTTTGATTACTGTAGCTTTATAGTAAGTTTTGAAAGCAAGAAATATAAGTTGCCCAAGGTTTTTTTTTTTTTTTTTTCAAAATTGCTTTGTTCATTTGGGTTCTCTTGCAGTTCCATGTGATCTAACTTTTGCTGATTTTACAAAACAGGTTTTTGGGATTTTAATAGCTGTAACATTAAATTCATGGACATTTTGTGTAGCAATGAAACCTTGATAATATTGTCTTCTAATGAAAAAATATGGATGTCTTTCAATTTAATTGTATCTTCTTTAATTACATTTAACATTGTTTTGCATTGTTTACAAACAAATGTAAAACTTTCTGGGTTAAATTTATTGCTAATATTTTATTCTTTTTGATGCTATTGTAAATGACATTGTTTTCTTCATATTATTTTTTGTTTATTGCTAGTGTATAAAAATGCAACTGAATTATTATTTTTTTTAATTTTGAGTCAGAGTCTCACTCTGTTGCCCAGGCTGAAGTTCAATGGCATGATCATGACCCACTACAGCGTTGACGTCCTGGGCTTGGTTTCCACCTCAACTTCCCATAAAGCTGAGAGTACAGACATGAGTCACATAATCCAGTTAATTTTTTGGTTTTTTTAGAGATGAAGTTTTTCTATGTTGCCCCGGCTGGTCTGGAATTCCTGGACTTAAGCAATCCTCCTACCTCAGCATCCTAAAGTGTTTGGATTACAGGTGTGAACCACCACACAGGTCTTATTTTGTAAGTCGATTTTATATTGTGCAACTTTGCTGAAATGGTTTATTAGCTAATTTTTTTCTTGCATAGTTTCTTTAGGATTTCTTCCTTTCTTTTTGGATACCACTATATTCCCTTACTTGACAGATGATCTCCAGTTCTTTGTTTGCCAAGCTCCCACATAATTCCTTCTTTCTTCCTTCGTGAATCCTGAGCATGGTCTTAAATTTTAGACATTTCTTATTTGCCAGCTGTATATCTGACAAAGGCCTAACATCTAGAATGTACAAGAAACTCAAAAGCGCTTCCTTTGTGAATCCTCAGCGTGGTCTTAAAATTTAGACATTTCTTATTTGTCAGCTCTATATCTGACAAAGGACTAATATCTAGAATCTACAAGAAACTCAAAAGCACGGAAAAGAAAAACAACTCCATTAAAAAGTGGGCAAAAGACATGAGCAGACACTTCTCAAATGAAGATATTTGGGCAGCCAACAGATATGAAAAAGTTATCAGCCTCACTCATCATCAGAGAAGTGCAAATCAAAACCACATTGAGATACCACTTACCTCCAGTAAGAATGGCCATCAGTAATAAAACACACAACAGATGTTGGTGAGTATGTGGACAAAGGAATACTTGTACACTGCTAGTAGGAATGCAAACTAGTGCAATCTCTTTGGAAGACAGTGTGGCAATTTCTGAAAGAACTAGAAATTGATCTTCCATATGACCCAGTAACCTACCTATTGGGAATATACCCAGAGGAACTAAAATCATCTACAAAAAAGATACCTGCACATGGATATTTGTTGCAGCTCTATTCACAATAGCAAAAACATGGAACCAACCATGCTGCCCATCGAAGCTGGATTGTTTTAAAAAATGTGGTACATATACACAATGTAATATTATGCAGCCATAAAGAAGGACAAACATATTGACTTTGCAATAACTTGGATGGGTTTAGAGTCTATCATACTCAATGATCTACCACAGAAACAAAGAACAGAGTGCCATATATTCTCACTCATAAGTGGACCTTAAACAATTATAGTAATACTATAAGAAAGGGGTTGGCAGTAGTGGGAAACTGCCAGGGAAGGGGGAGGGGTTTAGGAGTTGAGAGAAACTCCCGGGGAGGTGGGGCACACTTCTTCCACAAGGGTAACTGCATAATGAACATTTGTATAGCTAATTTTGAATTGCACTCCACATCTTAAAAATAAAGAAAAAAAATTAGACATTTCTATCTTTGGTGACATTTTGGTCTCACTGGAGAGGTCTCCTTTGACCTTAAATGCTCATTGTTTTTCATGGAGTGAGTTGTGCCACAGAATGGGACAGACCGTACTTGCTTCAGAAGCGTTTCATCAATTCATCAATCAAAATATCCTTTTTTGGTACCATATAATTAAGTTTGTATTTTAAAAATACAAGTATCTTCTCCCCAAACAGTATATTTTTCCATTTCATATAAAGAGCAATAAAGGTTTCTTTGTACCAAGAGAAAACAGACCCCTGCCAAATCCCTGACTGAGTGATCCCCCATCTCCTGTCAGGAATATGTAGGTGATGTTGGTGCAACAGACTGAAACTAAATGTGTCCTGATCAGTTATGAAGGTCTCTTACATAGCAACCTCCTGTCCAGGACATATTGCTCCATTACCCTTGGAGTTTAAAACTATCATGGATTCTTTTTATTTTTCTGTCTTAATTTCAGTGTGACCCATGTCTTTTCTTCCACTCCTTCCCTTGTTTGGGAGAGCCTTATGGCTGCCTCTGTAACCACATCACACTTCCTCTCCTGTAGGAGCATGCCCCCAGGTGGCTCCACAGGCAGGTGCCAGCCTGGCTCATGGGGTCCTTCTCTAACCCCGCCAATGGCAGTCAAGGTTCTTAGAGCTTGAAACAAAGGACACTTCCAAGGAACTCCATCTCAGGCCCATTCTAGACCACATTTGTGGGCAACTCTGCTGTGGTCTGATGATCATGTTTTGATGCTCAGGGGATTCTGAGACTGCATTCCCCTTCCCAGTCTTCCAGCTCAGTGAAGCCTCTTGTCCTTTCCTTTCTCAAGGACAAAGCCTGTGTCTTCTCTTCCCATCAGATAACCAGGCCCAGTTGGCTTGGTGGGACTCTAACTTCATAACACAAGGGCTGGTTCTGGGGCATTAGGCAGACATTCTTCCCAGAACCCCGAGAATTCCTGAATGGCATGTTCTTCCATTTGACTCTGAAAGCATCAGTTGAAGATGCTTGGGAGTCTCAGGCAGGGCTCCTGGAGTTTCTACTGCCTGTCACGGGCTGCACTTTGGTCAGTTCAAAGCACTGACAGTCACAGGGACTTCTTTTGCTCTTGAGCTATATCAATAGACATGGAAATGGTGGTGAGGCAAGTTCTCAGCACAATGTGCAATGAAACTTGTAGCTGTAGCACATAGGGGCTGAGAAGGGATGAGGCTTGGGTCTGAGAACACTGATATGTTACTGAACAGAGAAAGAGCATCCTAGGAGGAACCCTGTGAGCAGAGGCCAGAAGAAAGTGAGAACTCAGGAGAGTGTAAGGAGGGTTCTTAAATGCTGGGCTTATGTCTTGAGGGGTACAGGAATCTCAGACTACCAAGCTAGGTCCTATAAGGCCTGCCTACAGCTGACTTTTCAGGCACACAAGCCTGTCAGTTAAATGCTCCAAAGATGTGGAGCTCGCTGCCCTGAGTCCATATCCCCAGACAGTCACACAGGAGCACAGAGCACCTCATTCCCTTCATCTGAGGGACATTTGAGAAAGGCAAGACTGCTAAATGTCGCTGATCTGGGGGAAAGCTCTTGCTACTATATTTTTCCAAACCCTCCAGAACTTTCTAACAAGCAAACAGCTTTGAGGACAAGGGGACTAAGGTGTTCTTCCAGGCCTGTTCTTCTACAGTGCAGATGGTATAAGGGGAGAAGCCACGAGAGATTCACATTTCTGGAACTCCTGATGAGTATGTTACATTGTTCAGGAGCCCAAAGTTTTTGTGAGAACATGTGTCTGCCATAATCTTGTTTTAACATGGTGAGATCAATTCCATTTCACTTTATGATTGGGATTTCACTAAATGGTAAGTAGAAGGCAAACTAAATCAAAACATTGCTATTTTCAAGTAGAATTCCTTAGTGTGCTTAGACAGCTCAGTGTCATGAGAGAACTTAGTCAGCAGACAACTTCTCCCATACTCTGTTGGTGATGGAGAAAAGACAGAAGAGATACCACATCACAGAAAACTTCCCTGGGAGTGAGGGAGGGAGGAGGAAGGTGGACAAGGATGCCTGAGTGAACTGGACACCTTTCCCCCAACCAGACACAGAATTTTGCCTTTCCACTGCCCTCCAGCTTTTCAACTCACCTTTATCACCACCCATCACTGGGGTGGCCACAGGTACCCTGGCCCAATGTGACAACTTGGGAATCTCCTGCTTCTTCTGGGCCTCAGACCTCCCTCTCCTGCAGCCCCAAACCAGGCTACACAACCTGACACCTCCCCTCCCATAGTTTATGATGTAGTGCAAAGGATGTTTGACCAGGTGCTTTAACTAGACACAAACAGCTGCTTCAGTGTGTAGGTACATTCTGTGTACTCTAGAATAGTCTTTTCCTAACTCTAAGTGCTTTCACTCAGTACCAAGTAACCAGCTCCTCCTCCAGGTGTTAAAAGTGATCATTCAAATAAATCTCATTGAATGGAAGTGTAGGATAGTCATTGTTTTCATGTGCTGTCCAAGAGCAGAGCATTTTCATGACAACCTTAAACCAGGGTGAGAAGCTCTTGTTCAGGTTTCCATCCCAGGAATGAGCCCAGGGCCTCAATTCCACATCCTCTCCCCTCTAGTCCTTTTCACCACAGTGTAGGTCATGCACATTCTTTCTTTCTCAACTGCTACATCATTCACCTGAGACCTCCTTGTCTTATGTGTACAAGTGGGGACCCCAAAACCTGAATTTTTTTTGTGGGGGAAGGTGAGTCTCTTGTAGTACACTCAAAATTTTTTTTTCCTGATCAAGCCTTCACCAAAATTTTTATCGGGAAGTTTTGAGATAGTTGTATCATGATTTGCTAAGGAACCATCCCAAGCTGTGGCACACAGTGACCAGTTCTACCACATAACAATGCATTTGCCTACAACAGGTTGAGTGATCAGCAGTCTTTGACCAAAAATGGCATGTCTCCCACTTCTCACTCTCTCTTTTACTGGTTCTTGCCCCAAGCCACTTTTGTTGTTGTTGTACTTTAGTTTTTTATTTTTAAATTTTTTCTTCTAAATTTTTCAGTCAAATTCTCACTCTGTTGCCAAGGCTGGAGTGATTGGCATGATCACAACAACCACAGACTTAACCTGCTGGTCTCAGGTGATCCTTCTGTCTCATCCTTCCAGGTAGCTGGAACTACAGGTGCATGCCACCGTGCCTGGCTAGTTTTAATATTTATTGAAGAGAGAAGGTCTCACTAAGTTGCCCTGGCTGGTCTCGAATCCTCGGGCTCAGGCTCTTACATCTGCCTCCCCAAATGCTGGGATTACAGGCATGAGCCACTGTACCTGGCTACTTTTTTTAAAAAAATATGAACAAGTTATTACATATTAATTATACTTTAGTAGAAGAGATTTAAAAATAGGCTACAGCCAAAGGAAGAGGGAATTTGCACTGAAGACTGATAAAAGGATGCCATAGGTCTGGAAACTCACAGAAATAATGAAAGGAGGATGGTGAAGATGCAGGGTTTCCCTTAAAGGAGGGTCTTAGATGACACAGGTGGACAGTCACCCCAACCCTGGACTTCAGAGCAAAGACCCTACATCCCAAACTGCAGGGAGCAAGACTTCCTGTTTCCTAGAGGCTGTTTTCTAGGCAGAAGCTGCTGTAAGTGACTGTGAGGACAGAAAGGGAGGAGAAGCCTCCTTAGACCTGAGTAGCAGCTGCCAGGCACTCACTTTCCTGGTAGAGGAAGGAGGTTTTTGTCTCACTTCCCTGTGGCCCTGGAGCACTGTGTAAATTTTGAGGTCTTTGTCATAAGAACTGCAGTAATAATCAGCCTCATCTTCAGGCTGTAGTTCAGTGATTGTCAGGAAGCCTGAGGAGCCAGACTTGGAGCCAGAGAATCGGTCAGGGACACCTGAGGGCCGATTGCTATTACTATAGATGAGGGGTTTGGGGGCTGTTCCTGAAAGCTGCTGGTACCAATGCACATAATACCCATCTCCAATGTTGCTGTTGCTTCCAGTGCAGGAGATGGTGACCCTCTGTCCTAGATTCCCAGAGACTGACGCTGGCTGAGTCAGCACAGACTGGGCCTGGGATCCTAGAAGTGGGAGAGACACACAAATGGTGATCTTGGGTTCAGAGACAAGAGGAGTAAGCTGGGCTTCAAAGTTTTCCCAGGGCCCATCCCCTGGCCCCATATGTAGTCACCTGTACAGAGAGCGAGGAAAGTGAACAGGAGTGGGGACCAGTCCATGGTGATTATTCTGCCTTCTGTGCCAACAGCTGAAGCAGTGCTTCCCCCAAATCTCTCCCTTTTCCTCTTCATACCATAAGTGTGGGAGGGTCATTTTATGCAAATAAGACCACCCCCCAAACTTTCTGATCCTATCCTGGGCCCTGGATCAGGTCTTCCTCTGAGGGTGTCAGGGGGATGGGCAGGGGTGGGGCTGTGGGGGATGGGAGAGGAGAGGACACAGCTGTGAGACTTGAGCAGAAAGCACACAACAGGGAGGGCCAGGTGGCTGGTTCCAGCTCTGATCACACCCTGGTCCCTCAGGAACAGCCTCTGAGCGCCCTTTGTGTTCAGGCCCAGAAATACCACCTATGACAGTGACTAGAGCAAGCCTTGCCTCCCTGCTGCTTTGTCCTTAGCTGCTTGTCTCAGTGCCAGCCCAAGCAGCCCCTTATGTAGCCTCCCCACTACACGAAGGCAGTTTATGCTGTATCAGACTCCTCAGGGGTGAGTCTGTGCTCCCTTGGCTGTTCATTGGATCATGAAGGACTCCAATCTCTTATACAAAATCTTTAGATCAGGGCCAAGGTAAGAGCAGACTAGTTCCCATTAACTGCACCTGAAACCTGATTCTTTCCTCTCATGCGATTCCTCCTTTGTGGCCAGCTCTCTTCTTCCCCTGTGATTCCTGCAGTGCTGAAGGGAAAGGGAGCTTTTCTTTCACAGGGATTATAGAGGGGAAGAAGCTGAGTGTGCATTCCTAGAAAGTTATGAGGTAGAAATCCTTACTGGTCTATGTTTCCACAAACTTCAACAAAACTCATCATTATACTATGACCTGTTATTGATTCCTAGTAATCTATTCTAAGCACAAAACACAGTTTTCAAAGAGTCATTTGAAATGACATTATTTACAGCATTTGTGGGAAATGCAGTAATGTTCAAGAATGTAATGTGTTAAACGTTTAAGTTACTTGGGCCAGTGCCTGGTTCCAGATGAGCCTGATTGTGACAGCTGTTGTGATCAGTCGTTCCAAATAGAGGATTAGGGGAAAAAATATGGTTTATTTTCAAGAATGATTGTTGTCAATTTGTTTTAAAATGAGAAAAAAATAATAATCTCTGACTTGAAGAAACATGCTGTATATTATTATTTTGTCAACAAAATCAAGTTTCTGCAAAAAGATAATACTATTTTATCACACCACCAGAAAAAAACAAAGGTTTCTGTATGACTAGAAGAGTTTTGGAAGTATAAACACCAGGCTGTTGATCTATTTTATTTTGAGAAGCCACCTGACTTAGAGAGGAGTAGCAGGATTGTCAGTCTGACATCTTTATTTTGAGTGTGTCACAATGTGGTCCTGTACTGTGAAGTTTTACATTCATGATGTTTTAAAATCAGATTAGTAAATGTCTAAAGTAGTCAGCTAAACAAAATAGGTCTATATATGTATCTGAAGGAAAATATACATTTTAATTTTAAATTTATCAGCATAACCTTGTGATATTATTTTGAAGTCTTTTTTAAACAGGCAGTTTTAGATTTAATAGTTTAAAACACAAGGCAGTTTTTTATAAAACTTTATTCATTAACATGTGGAAGCTTGTGCTTGCAACCTGCGTTTTCTTTGCTTTTTTTTTTTTTTTTTTGAGTTGGAGTCTGTCTCTGTTGCCCAGACTGAGGTGCAGTGGCATACTCATGGCCACCGCAGCCTCGACCTGATGGGCTTAGGTAAACTTTCTGCCTAGCCTTCCAAGTAGCTAGAACTATAAGCATCCACCACCAAGCCTGGTTAATTTTTTGATTTATTGTAGAGATGAAGTCTTGCCAGTCACCCAGGGTGTTCTTGAACCTGCGAGCTCAGAGACAATTCTCTCGCCTTGGCCTCTAAAAGTGCTGGGATTATAGGTACGAGCTCCTGCACCTGGCCCGCAAGTTGCATTTTTCTAACAATTGCCTCCATTTTGATGATGTAATGTTTTTTTAATAGCAAATTTTGTTTTCTTTTTTGTTTCAGATTAATGAACAGGATTTCCTAGACTGAGCAGTCTCACACCCAGACAAGGTTGTCTATGTCCACTTTTTGCCTGTAAGTGCTCTTCCTGGTCAGTACCCTTCAGCTTTCAGGCTGTGGGGCATGACGTGAGCATTCCCTCAGCTGAATCTCCTAGTTAAGCCCCATCCTGGACCCAAAGCAATGTATCCAGTGAGGTGAGAGGCCATTCTGCATTTAGTAAATAATAATGAAGCACTTAGTTTGTGTTGAGTACAGAATTTGACAATGGATTTACCATGCTGAGCTAGATAGCTTCATCCCTGCTCCATGGAGCTGAACTTCATGAGCAAAAATAAGAGTTTGAATCACACAAGTGTCTCTATTCTTCACACTCACCACTGGAGTCAGATAGACCATTGGAGTCCCTGGTACACTTGGTTCTGGGAAGTTATAATAAATGGTAGTAACATGGGAAGGAGGGATAACATAAAGAACATAAAGAAATGAGGGAATAGTTCTTAGGTTTAAGTAAAGATGATGAGAAGTTCATGAAGTAGATGCAGATGGGATAAGACAGAGATGAATAACAAGATCTAGGTGAAGGAACTGCCAGGGAATGAGAGATTAGAATTTGGAAAGCAAAGGGAAGTTGGCAGCGTCAGTGATTTAGTAATCCAGGAAGATGAGCTTGATCAGGACAAGGAGGCTGCTGACTGGTAGGTCATGATATGCAAAACTTGCTTTGGCAGGAGCAGAAGGTGGGCTGGATCTCTGCCTTAGTGAGTGTGGTTTGAAGAATGCCAGAAAAAAATTGAAAGGGGAAGTAAACTCCCCTTCAGGAAAGACTAGATGGGAAGTATAAGATGGAGACTTCCACAGCCTGCATGTCCTTTTTGGAAATTTCTTAAAATTGGAATCTTGTTAATTTGTGGATTTCTGTCAAAGGAGAAGATAAACACAATTTTTCTGAACCCATTAACCTGTATGGTATGGATATCAGCTAGTTTATCTCCAACATGCAAAGTTTGCTTTAAATGTCCTTTCTTCTTGGACTATATACTATGTTTGAAAATGTTCTTTAACCAAGCTTTACTATCTTACTGGTATCCTCATTAACATAGCAGTTGAACAAATTATTTGACATATGTTCTTTCTATATTTTGATAAGTCACATGTTTATCTTTTTAAAAATTATACTCTGATCTTTTGTAGTTTATCCACTAAATGCCTAAGGAGAACTGCCTACCATGTATATCTATTGAAGGTATTACATATGAAGAGCAAACTCTTTATAAACTCAGTGAATACTTCTCTTGCATCCTGTAGTGATTCTTAAACATTTAGTTTTGGGGACTTTGACCTTTTTTTAAGTTTTATTTTGTAGAGGTGAGGTTTCACTATGTTGGCCAGGGTAGTCTTGAATACCTAGTCTCAAGAGATCCTCCTGCCTTAGCCTGGGATTAGAGGTATGAGCCACCATGCCTGTCCTGACCGTGTTTTTTTTTTTTTCTAGAGATCCTTTCCTTTTATGAGACAGTGGATTGTATATGAATATTTGGGGTCATCAGCCTATATGTGGTGACTGAGCTGGGAAAGGGGTTGTGAAAATAACAAGAGTCTAGTATATAAATAACAAAGTGGCTCTAGCACTGAGGACATAACATATTATTGGTTAGTGACAGAGAAATGATGGAAGGACACAGAAAAGAGTACTTGGTTTGAGAAAAGCAGGAGAGTGCAGTTCGGGTTCTTAACAGTTGGCGTGTCATGAAGGAGCAAAGTCACAGGTGATCTCAGCTCCCAGGACACAGAAGAGGAGGAAGACTAAGATAGCATCAAGATGACCAGGACTCCATGAGGTAGAGAATGTCAGCAGTGTCCCAGGGGTGACCTGGGAGCAGTTGTGTTGTGATAGGAGCAGAAAGAGCCCTCACATGGCATGTGTGGTAGGGGGAGAGGTGCTGGTGCTGAGCCCCTGGGTTTGAACATCACCTGAGGAAGAGCAGTGAAGGAGAAGTACCCGTATAAGGGAGGGCAGCTGGGCCTCTGGTTTCACTTTTGTATTTTATTATTTTTAGAGACAGGGTCTTGCTCTGTTACACAGGCTGGAGTGCAGTGATGTGGTCATGACTCACTACGATCTTGACCTCATGTGCTCCAGCGATCCTCTTGCCTCTGCCTCCTGGGTAGTGTGGACAATAGGCATGTGCCATCATGCACAAAAAATTTAATTTATTTTTTGTAGAGACAGGGGTCTTTCTATGTTGCCCAGGGTGGTCTTGAACTCATTGTCTTAAGAAGTCATTCACCACATCCTCTCCAGTATCTGTTATTTTTTGAGTTATTGATAATGGCCATTCTGACTGGAGTTAGGTGGTATTTCAGTGTAGTTTTAATTTACATCTCCTCGATGATTAGTGAGGTTGAACATTTCTTCATGTGTCTGTTGGCTGCTTGTATGTCTTCTTTTGAGAAGTGTCTGTTCATATCTTTTGCCCATTTTGTAATGGGATTGCTTCTTTTTGTTTTTTCTTTTCAGTACATTTGCATCCCTTGTAGATCCAAGATGTTAGATGTTGCATTCCTTTGTCAGACCTGGAGCTGGCAAATACTTTTCCCAGTCTGTCGGCTGTCTCCCTGCTCTCTTGATCGTTTCTTTGGCTTTGCAGAAGCTTGTCAGTTTAATGAGGTCCCACTTGTCTATCTTATCTCTTATACCCCGTGCATTTCGGGTTTTGTTCAGGAATTGGATGCCAGTTCCAATTTCCATAAGGGTGTGTCCTGCATTTTCTAAGGTTCTTATGGTTTGAGGTTTTACATTTAGGTCTCTGATCCATTAGAGTTAATTTTTGTGTATGGGGATAGATAGGGGTCTTGTTTGAGTCTTCTGCCTGTGGTCAGCCAGTTTTCTCAGCACCATTTACTGAAAAGATTCTCCTCTCCCTAGTGGTAGGTGGTGGAGGCTTTGTTGAAGATGAGTTGGTTGAGAAATTGAGGTTTCAACCTCCCATATGACCCTGCAAT